TCAGTTGAAATAAACCAGTATCTTAAAACAGAACGGTTAATAAATAATGAATTGAAATAGAGAAAATGAATCCTGGGATTTTTTTTTTTTTTTTTTTTACAGGCAGAATGATACAATTCTTCTTAATGACTTTCAAAAACAATTTGAAATTTATTTATTAAATTCTGTAATTTCTAAAGAAATATGGGGATGAAATTGGGCGTCCACTGGGAAAATATTTTCCCCAGCTGAACATACACCACATTCTGCATCCATCAACAAACTTCTAGTTTAATTACAGAGTTGATTCAAATTAGCTGGTTCACTAAACCTGATATAGGGCATGCTCATAATTGTTCAGCTGGGTTTGTGTTAATCTGGTTTCCCATTTTAACTCAGTTTTAACAATGTCTGAATCATTATTTTGCTGGAAGAGTATTAGAGTTAGAGAACCTGAAGGATGCCGTCCTCTCATTTTACATCTACCCTCTACCAGTAAAACAGCTCCACAGCATGAGGTAGCCAAGAAACATACCTGACAGTTGGTATAGTGACTAACTTTAAAAGTCGCACTGTTTAAAATAGAGCCCGACCGATGTGGGAGTTTGAAAGACAATGCCGATAGCGGGGGCTTAAAAAAAACAACAGTATTCCATATATTGGCCATTATCACATATTGCCAGATATCAGACATACATCAGCCAGAATATTAACAAAAAATCTTTTCATGGACATAAATACAGAGGATGTGCACTGTCCAACTATAGTCCAGCTCAAATTCTCATAATAACCAAAAATATGAATCCAGACGAAGAAACAGAAAATAGAATTAAAATAAGCTACTTTAATTTGGGCAGTGTTTACATAAGACTGTAAATACCATCCATTTTTGTGGTGCTAATTTAGGTATTGCCTTAAATTTATATATTTTTTTTTTTGCCTTGAAACGTTAACACCCCAGATGATACAACCAACATCTATTTAAACCTTCATGAAGTGACATGAATATATATATTGGGAATGGCACTCAGTACAAGATCAATAGAGGCCAGGGTCTACCACACCAGGCAGGACCCCCGATGCAGACTGTGGAAAGATGCCTCTGAAACAATACAGCACATAACAGCAGGGTGTAAAATGCAGGCAGGAAGTGCATACATGGAACGCCACAACCAGGTAGCTGTCATAGTGTACAGGAACATCTGCCATGAGTATGGGCTGGAAGTCCCAAGGTCAAAATGGAAGACACCTCCTAAGGTAGTTGAGAATGCCCGAGCTAAGATCCTATGTGACTTTAAGATCCAGACTGACAAAAAGGTGATGGCTAACCAACCAGACATCGTGTTGATCGACAAACAGCAGAAGAAGGCAGTAGTGATAGATGTGGCAATCCCAAGCGACAGCAACATCAAGAAGAAAGAACACAAGAAGCTTGAGAAATACCAAGGACTGAAGGAGGAGCTAGAAAAGATGTGGAAAGTAAGAGCAGCAGTGGTGCCAGTGGTAATTGGAGCACTGGGGGCTGTGACCCCCAAACTGGGAGAGTGGCTACAGCAGATTCCAGGTAAAACATCAGAGGTCTCTGTCCAGAAGAGCGCAGTCCTAGGAACAGCTAAGATACTGTGCAGAACCCTCAAACTCCCAGGCCTCTGGTAGAGGACCCGAACTTGAGGATGACACATACCACCCCACGAGGGGTGAGAAAACGTTTTATATATATATATATATATATATATATATATCTTATTTTCCTTTTAAAATTATGTTTATTTCACAAAGAGATAAAGATGACCCAGAGGTAAAATGCTAATATGTTCACCAAAACTAGCACATATAAAACTCGTCTGCTCTCCTTAATGACCCGTAACAGCGTTTTCCCAAAAGGAAAATGGTTTTCATGGGGCACTAAAGTGTAGCTTTACAAAACCACAGCGTACCATGGAGTAAACGGCTCACTTTCTCCCCCTCCAAGTCCATGGTAGGTTTGGTTATAACATCTGCATCCTCAAAGGATGAAAATAAGGAGGCCAGAAGAGTTTGGCTATGGATTAAAACAGGTCCAGCCTTCTCCATCTCTCACCGCCTCTCACTCTGCGCAAGCTCTGTTGTCTAGCAACCAGGACCATTGACAAACAGAACATAGAATGCGAACTTCTCACTACTGTTCTGTGAGTTGCAGTTAGCATACTGCACAGATATTGGAATCTGTGCTTAAATGTCAGTCAAACCCATTAGCAGAGGGATAGATGAAACCTTTTAATAAACCAAACATTACCCTCCACATATCCCATTCAATAATTATTTGAAACAACAATTTTAATTCATTTCAGATGGAACTATTCACATACTTGTATTATAATAAGCTGCACTTACAATATTCATCACTGTTTGCTGCCATTACTCTTTTTCCTCTAAGACCGGGGCGGCCGGCTTACTTGGACTTGCAATTAATCACGGGATATCCAAGGCTCTGTAGGAAACACTGGACCTGCCCTTCAAAATAACGCAATCGGCCGACGAATCTGACCTTTTGGGGACGCAACTGCTAAATTCAAAACACAGCACATTCTTACGCTAGCAGCAGCTGTGTGAGTGTGTGTGTTTCCAGAGGGTGGGGTGCAGAGGGAGCTCACTGAGGGGTGGTGCTGCACACAGCAACTCAGCGATCAGGAAGGGAGGGGAAAAGGAGCAGAATCAAGGTGTGGCTGAAGTTTCTTGCAGTTGTTTGCAGCAAAAGCAGAATTTTTATATCTGCAACATTTTGGCCAATGTCAATTAATGAGCCAGACGCTTAAATCTGCCCAGAGATCAGTCGGTCAGGCTCTGATTCATATATCTGATTCATATATCAACAGTCAGTTTCCATTTTAAAAAATTAACCAACACCTCTAACCTGAGGGTGATGTTTTGGTCAGGCAGTTGGTCCAAAGATGTTAACAAGATTCAGGTCTGGTTTAACCTCTTACAGCTCACTATAAATCTAGATTTTATTCAAACAGCAGCTCTTGCGGTTTTAATCAGTTTGCACAGCAATACTCACTTTTTTTCCCAGGCATTTCTGTCTGCTTTGAACTTATCTCAAAGCTCTTGTTGGGCAACGTAACAGATACGACTCTCACCTCATCAGACTTATTGTTTGTTCTCTGATGTAGGATTCGATCAGACTCCAAAACAAGGGAGTTAAACGTGGAAGTTTAAGTTAAGTCTAGTGCCCATGGTGGCTAAAACTTACACGTTTACTGGTTTAATCTATAGCATGTGTTCAAATGTTTTTTTTTTCTTGGCCTACACAATCAATCAGTTGCTGTTGTGTTAATATTCCACCGGAGATGTGAAACACTTTAAATGCTTCATTAAAGCCCCTAAATTAGTATAATATTCATGCCCTACAAAGATGCATGTAACGAGACTAGAGATTGCATATGGGATTAAAGCTTGAGTGCTTCATGCGACTAGCAACATAAGGATGGTTTTACGTTTTCTGTAGGTCAAGAAACCGCTGCCGTCGCTCACTCTGCTCCAGCACGCTGTACTTGCTCTTGTACTGGGCCAGCCGAGGGTGAGGGCCAGCTGTGCTGTTTGGCTCCTTGGACACAGCAAAGCTGGATGAGAGGGCAGCAGTCAGGTCATCCATGGCAACACTGGAAGTATGCAAGATGTGGAAGTTAAATCTCAGAAAAACATCTCTATGCAAACAGAAATTTAAAAATGGTTAATCACTAGAGTGGTTAAATACGTTCAGGGAAGCTTGAACCTAAAACTGAAACCATACAGTGCTAAATTGAGTTTATGCTGGGCTAAATCAATGCCAAGTTATTTTAATTATTTAGGAATACTGAACAGCCTGCAGTGCTAGCTGGAAAACACTCCCACATCGAAGTAAGCTTGTTTAGTGTTAAAGAATGATCACAATACCTACAAGAGGGAAATAAATTCAGACTTTACTGACCCCCTGCAGCCCAATTAACGTTAGAAAGAAACTAATGAGTTCATCGGTAATCTGGTCTGAACAGACACTAAAACTGTTTAAATTGCCGTTTTTTTATGACGTAGTAGCAATAAAAACTGGAAGCTTAAGCCTCCGTCAAATCAAGGATGCTGAGGCTATAATTCCTGTGTAAACAAATTTTAAATTAAAGATGTGGTGGGATCTAAAGTTTTAATCACGCTAAATTGGCGCAAACTGTAACATTAACTGTATGACAGGATATTTCAATTACACGTCAAAACCATAACAACATTATAGTGTTACGCATAGTGAATAATCTAAATGTTATTTTAAATGAAGTGGATACTTCTATTCAGAGTGTTAGCTATAGCTAGCGGCAAGCTTTGAGCTAAACCTATTAGCATGACAAGCTTGTTAGCATCTTAGCATCCACGGGACAACGACTCTACTTCGGTTTCTTATAAACTACAAACTATACTAATAAACAGTCTGTCAAACAGTTATAGTATTCGGAGCCCCACAAGTAAAGACATACATTGCTTGCTTTCCGGGTAGCTGCTGCTGCTGCTGCTTATACCTCAGGTTGCTTTCAGGAGCATATTTCAGATGGCCGAAACTATTCCAGAGTTGTACAGTTTTGATCGGAAACTGAAATTTTACAATGTAACAAGTTTGTATGTCATTCATTTCCGGCAACAAAACGATTACAATAAAGAAACTAATAAACTGTGTCCTGTAAAAATTAGTTTGTCATGCCCTATATGATGGGGGACTATTAAAATAAAACAATTGGAGTTAGCAAAAAAAGGGTGATTTCATGTCATAAACAACTTTAACAAATATTGTTGAAAGGGTAATGTTTTAGGAGGTTTATTTCCAAAGGTTTATTTGCATGATAATTTATTCAGTTTTAATTCACAACGAAGGAACTTTGTTATAGTTTTTTTTAAAGGGAGTGATTACATAAAGTTTTCTCCCAGATGTGCTTAACTCTGTGCCATGTGTTGTTCTGTGTTCCACCTGCTGGGGGCGGTGTCGATGTTCCCACTTCTCCTCCCTCCCTCCGATCATAAAGGAGTTTCTGAAAACAGTCGAACTTGCCTCCAATTATCCGAGCCGCGCGTCACGGAAAGAGTTGCAGTGCGTTTAGGAATAAACTGACGCAATAGGGCCCAACAAAAACGTACCATGATGGATGCTACTGATCTTTAGAAGCGTTCTACCCGCTCTCTGTTTCACTGCATTTTGGGACTGGTTTGCAGATGCACAGGAACCTGTTTACGTGGAAAAACGCAGCAAGTTAAGAGTCTGAGGGAATGCGGTGTGGGCTGGAATGTCCGAGGACACGATTACTCATCCGTCTGTTTTTGTCCGCGCCGGATCACTTTGTCTTGGAAATATGTTTGCCTTGGAAGACTTGTAGGCTCCTCTGATGAAGCTGAAGAGCGATAAATGAACAACACCTTCAAAAAGTGCGGTTTAAAGAAGATTTTACTAATCGATAGAGTTGTCGGAGGAGGAGTTTGAAGAAAGGAGTTATGGTTTGAACCATGTTGTTTTTGTTAGTTGAAGTAGACAGATTGCACATTATGTCGTAGTTTAAAAGGAGGATACAAGGCAAGAACAGAGAAGGATCCTAAATGGGCTGATAATGTTTAATTAGGTGTTATTTAGACTTTTTATTTCTATTTAGAGCTAGTGTTTGAAAGTAGGGCTAACGGCATCACAGTCAAGAAAGTCATACTGTAGCATTTCTTAGTGCTGTTAAATGTTTCCTTACAGTATAAGCTAGGCTTTCAGGCATTGTGTTTATGTAGAAACTGAAGGTTTGAAACCCATTTGTATTTCATTATGTCAGTAAAAGGTGTTGCCATTTACCCTTTCTTTAGTGAAAACAAAGAGGAGATCAGTATCCAGGAAAATGAGGAAGTGGTTATTTTTGATGAGAACTCAGTCGATGGTTGGGTGCTTGGGGAAAACAGCAGAGGAGAAAGGGGGCTCTTCCCAAAATCTTATGTGAAGATTATCCGCACCCGCTCAGACTCCAATGTGACTGACTGTTCCATAAGTCCGGCAGGCTCTATAGGAAAGGAGTCCCCCAATCTGCCATCTACACCAAACACCTCCATTAATTCAGTGCAGATTTATGATGAAGACTACTACGACGATTGGGATGACTGGGACGACAGATCTACAGTGGTGGATGATGCTGATAACATTAACGTTAGCAGTAGTGGAGCTAACGGGCATATCTATCAGGCACAATCATCTAATAATCCCAATGTGCATTACAGGAGCAAGGCAATATCAAGACAAGACAGCATCGCCAGCTCCAGAAAGGGTAGTATGGTGGGCAGAAACTTGAACAGATTTTCCAGCTTTGTCCGCTCAGGGGTTGAGGCGTTTGTGCTTGGTGACGTCCCCATGATGGCAAAGATTGCTGAGTCTTATACCATTGAGATGGGTCCACTTGGGCCTCAATGGAAGGCAAACCCACAGCCTTTCATCTGCTCTGTTGAAGACCCAACCAAACAGACAAAGTTCAAGGGGATCAAGACCTACATATCGTACCGTGTGACACCGAGCCACACTGGCCGACCAGTTTACAGACGCTACAAACACTTTGACTGGTTGTACAATCGTTTGTTGCACAAGTTCACTGTAATCTCTGTGCCTCACCTCCCAGAGAAGCAGGCCACTGGCCGCTTCGAGGAAGACTTCATCGAGAAGCGCAAGAGGCGGCTCATTCTGTGGATGAATCATATGACCAGTCACCCAGTACTCTCCCAGTATGAAGGCTTCGAGCACTTTCTGATGTGTGCGGACGATAAACAGTGGAAGCTTGGTAAGAGAAGGGCAGAGAAGGACGAGATGGTGGGGGCCCATTTCATGCTGACCCTTCAAATCCCAAATGAGCACCAGGACCTTCAGGATGTAGAGGAGAGGGTTGACAACTTCAAAACCTTCGCCAAGAAAATGGATGACAGTGTGATGCAGCTCACAAATGTTGCTTCAGAGCTAGTTCGTAAACACCTGGGGGGTTTCAGGAAGGAGTTCCAGCGGCTCGGTAATGCCTTCCAGTCTATTAGTCATGCCTTTACGCTGGACCCTCCCTACAAGTCAGATGCCCTAAACAACGCCATCTCCCACACTGGCTGCACCTATGAAAACATTGGAGAGATGTTTGCAGAGCAACCCAAGAATGACCTCTTCCAGATGTTGGATAAGCTCTCGCTCTATCAAGGCCTGCTGGCAAACTTTCCAGACATCATTCATCTACAGAAAGGTAACGGTCAATGTTTAATGTGGCTTAAACTTGTCTTATACGTGCAGGGTGACCCCTTCCATTATAGGTGCGGTTTACTGACACCTTCTTCATTAAGACAAGTGTTTGGTTTCCCTTTAAGCTGCTCTGCACTTTATTTAAGGAATTTCCTCTTTTTCCCCCAGCCAATATGCCAATTTACCAGATTTATACCCGCATTGGTTACTGTACGCTCTGCTGTGCTGAAAGGCTTTTAAAATGATAAAAAAATATTGTTATTGTTGCTTAATAAGACTACAATCATCTAACTTTTCAAAACTATTAGTTTTAATCCTTTTAAATCCCAAATAAACCCAATTACAACTCTTGCACAAACCCAGTAAACAAAGATAAGTCTTCATAAAAGTTTCTGGCATTGCAAACTTATATGATATTAGATCAGTTGGTTCAGGTTCCTTTTTCTGGTCCTTCAGTCAAATAAATTACCGTATTTTCACGACTATAAGGCGCACTTAAACGTCTTTTTTTTTCCTCAAAATGTGCGGTGCGCCCTATGGTGCGGTGCGCCCTATGTGTGTTGTAACTGCGACTTTTGAGACCACCTCATTGAGGAGATGATGAAAGAGTGGCTTAATGTAAGGAGACCAGGTGGGTTTTTTTTTCACCCCTCACCATCGCTGTTAATATGTAACTCCATGCGTGCCCATCTCACAGCTGATGTGAAAAACATGGGGAAACAAATTAACCCTGTGCTCGCTGTTCAACCGCTCGACATCGGTGTGAACCGGACCCAGCAGGTGCAGCAGAAGCAGCGAGTTTACATGCAAAGTCAATGGTTGACGCGCGTATAGGTGCAGCAAAAGGTCCCGCAGCGCGTTTTGGTGCAGCACGTCGGGAGCGTTTAAGCATCTGACGCACCGCCAACGCGCTGCTGCTGCTCGAGATGGAAAAATTGAAGTTTTGCTGCTGGACGCGCCGCATCAACCAATCAGAGAAGCTGATCTGGGAGCTGACAGCGAGACAGACACAGCGCTCTGATGACATATGATATTAAATGAAAAAGGCTGGGTGGATGCGTGGCTGAGGCAGGTGTATCTGAGAAGACTAGGTGTTTTTTTCCACGCATCACCATCGCTGCGTGCCCATCTCACAGCCGATGTGAAAAAAAGGTGAATCAAATGAACGCTGTGCTCACCGTTATCCCGGGGGGTCTGACAAAGCAGCTTCCACCACTCGACATCTGTGTGAAGCGCCCGTTCAAAGTAAGGCTGCGAGCGGCGTGGGAGTGATGGATGACAGACGGAGACCACAGTTTCAGGATAAGTGGAAGGCAGCGCCGGGCAAGTTACGCCACCGTTTGCGGATGGATTGTAGATGCTTGGACTAACGTCTGCTGGCACTGTTGTTCAAGCTTTTGCAAAAGCCGTCATTATTTCTGAGGAGCCGCGCTGCACGGAAAGTGACTCTGACAGCGCAGAAGGGGAAATTGGCATGTCTGATTTAGCACAGCTGTTTAATTCAGAAACAGAGGATGATGACTTTGATGGGTTTGATTAATACTTTGTAATAAATACATGAATAAAGCACAATCATACTCAGTTTTGCTCCCGCTCTATTTTTCTACCTGAAAACTTAATTCAACAGCAGCCTCTGAGCGCGTCTCCTCCTCTTCACCGCGGTGGCTGGCAGGTGTTTTTTCATCTAAATAATCTAAATCTTGCAGCTATATTTGCTGTGATCTGTGTGAATAAAGTAGTTTTAATATGTTTTTAAGTGAGAAAATCCACCTGAAAACTTCATAATTGCAGTCAGTTCATCCAGATTATCTATTTCTGTCGGAGCCGCTCAGACCCCCACATACCAGCGGTGCACCGACAGTAAATCCCTTCAACAGCAGCCTCACCGCGGCTGCTGGCAGGTGTTTTTCATCTAAATAATTTAAACTGCAGGCACCAGGATACCGGCAATAAAAGCGAACATATTCCGTCGGCAGGTTTCAGGATTTTAAGTTAATTTAGGAGTGATCATAGCTCTGTCATCTGCGATGTGTCTGTCTCACGGCCAGCTGCCAGGTTTGATTAATACTTTGTAATAAATACATGAATAAAGCACAATCATACTCAGTTTTGCCCCCGCTGTATTTTTAAATACGCAGTAGAGGTATTTAAAGGTAGTAGAGGACATGTACCTGTATATAAAAAACGCGCCCTATAGTCCGGTGCGCCTTATGTGTGTGTTAAATACAGAAATGGGACACATAACTGAGAGTGCGCCTTTTAGTCCGGTGCGCCTTATGGTCGTGAAAATACGGTAAATACGATAAACGAATTCTTCTGTTACAGCTAAACTGAGCTACTAGTGTTTTGAAATGAGACAGCAGTTGCGTGAAGTAAGATTTTTATATCACAGTTCATGCATTTAGTATTATGGAATTATAAACGTTTATGATGTTCTTAAAGAACAACAGTGGGGAAAAGGGTTAGGTTACAAATAAAAAAAACAAAACAATACTGTTGTTTTTTTTTTTGTAGAGGGTTCAGAAATAATTGAAATTAATTGACAAAATAAAGCCAAGTTCTGATGATGTTAACACATTCTTCATGATAAAGATAAGCAAAACTAAAATAGCTCATCCTATCGGTCTCTGCCAGTCACGTGACATTTGTTGCTAAGACGCCATTTTTGGTGGAAAAGGCGTAGTGTAAACAACCGCAGCATAGCTAAACGAAGGACTAAAGGATTGAGTTTGTTTCTCTGACTATATGGAAAAAAGTAAGCAGAATGCATAATTACCGGACAGGTGTCGTGCCAAGGTAGTTATCCCTGCGAAAATTTGTATCCCCTCGTCGGGAGCGCGCACGGAGTAGGAAGAACAACCCGAGTTAACTCCGCTTCAATTCCAACGTGCAGAACTTGAAATTTGAGAGGTTTTACGTGTATGAAAGTTGAGCTTTACTGTTTTATTCTTTACTTCACGTGTTATAGCAGAATATCGCCAGTGATATTGATTTAAAACTGATTATAAAACACAAACGTTTGCTTGAAAGCTGGTCGCTGACAGCAGTGTCTAATCCTCCCTCTGAAAGCAAACAGATCCTTGTTCTTTTCCACACGTTCATTAAAAAAATCTCTCATTGTTTCACAGTGTCCAAATGTTCTCATCCCATTGAAAACTGTTGTAAACCATATACTTGTAATAAAAATGAAATAGAAAATGGAGTGCACGTGTAATCATTAAAGAGTATATGCAGAAGGAAATATTTTTTTCCTGGTTGAAATTTAGTACTTAAATCTATATTTGTGTTTATAGTAACGTACAATTTATCTATGTTGTACTATCCTTAATAAACTGTTTGTCTTCTAACATCAGCCATTTTATTTCATCCTATTTTGCCACAATTGGCAATATGGGATAAAATAAAACCTGCTGTAATCTGTTCCCCCTGTCTCAATCAGACAAAAAAGGCCCCAGCTTTTTCAAATTTCAAGTTCTGCACGTTGGAATTGAAGCGGAGTTAACTCGGGTTGTTCTTCCTACTCCGTGCGCGCTCCCGACGAGGGGATAACAATTTTTCGCAGGGATAACTACCTTGGCACGACACCGGGACTGGCAGCCTCTCACACAACACGATCGTGTCATTTCTGGTAAATAATTGTGCCGAAAGAACAGCCGCGTGTGGGTTATCTCGACTTTCCACCTATTAAGGTGGTTTTCCCACGATGCACCGCGCTCGAGGTAAACATTGACGTCACCTGGCGCAGACCGATTGTCTGTTGGGCTCCATACAATGTAATTACAAATTACAAAAAATTATGTTGAAAATGATAACTAAATGCTTTATTACTACCTTGCTGCATCTAATATTATGGTACGGATTTTTACCATTGATTTGACCAAGCTTCCCTTTTTTACTCTCCTATCTCACTTGATTTGAATTGGTGGAAATGAGTAGCAGGTTTGGTGAATAGCTGCAGAGGTAATTATTAATTCACTTGAATCTGTTGTATTGAAGCCATTAAAAAAATTTCGTTTTTGCAAGCCATGAGAATCAATCTCATCTCAAATGTTGTAAGGATTTGTAGTTGGGCAGTAAATCCATGAACCTGCAAAAAACTTAATGCTTAACTTAATGGTTAACTTTATAGACCTGAGATAGTTACGCATTTCATTGTCTTGTGGGGGTATCATAGCCTGACGTAGTCCGACTCAATTCTAGTCAGAATATGAGTCTGATACTGCTCCACAGAGCTGTGATTATGGGGCGTGTTTCGAACGAACCAGGAAAAAAAATGCCTCTGCACTCAATTGGATAGATCTACAACCAATAAGAGCAATGGAGTGCGTGACGTATGTTAAGCGAGGCATAGTTGTTGTCCACAAAAATCAAAGCGTGCAGTTTCACGCCTAGAATAAGAAGATGAGACTTGATCGCGTTTCTCTGTTCCTCTTTTAAAATTAATTTGCTGTCGATATCTTCTAGAACAGACCTAATAGCAGAATCTACTCACCCAAACTCTCCAGCGGCAGCCATTGTTGTTGTCACCTAAGCGCGCTTTGGTCACGTGGTTGATCATGTTACTCTTGATCATCTGTCCATCATCGTATAAAGCCCGCCCTGACAATTTGATTGGATCGCCTGACAGTGGGCGATAATACTCGCGCTACTATGGAGCAGAGCCAGACCGAACTTCCCAGAACTCAAACCTTGTGGGCGGGACTAAGTTCGGACTGGCACACAGGCTAGGGGTATCATGTGTTTGTCTAATTTTCATAATTCCTCAATGAAATATCAGTTATTTGACCCTATAGGTATGACGGTTTCTTTTATTCTATTTAAACAAGCACCTTCTATATCGGTGTGTTCTCTATCCCGAAGAAGCTGATATGATTTTAGCTGATTTTAGCTGCTCTTTTGCTCCATTACTGAGCTTTTAGAATCTGTCAAAAACTGATGTGACTCCAACCAACTATTCCTATTTATGTATGTATGTATTTTTTTCTGTGCTAGCGCATCTCATCA